AAAGACACACATAACAACCACAAAGACACACATAACAACCACAAAGATACACATAACAACTACAAAGATACACATAACAACCACACAGATACACATAACAACCACACAGATACACATAACAACCACACAGATACACATAACAACCACAGACAGAAATGCACAACAACCACAAAGATGCAAAATGAGTCACTAATTATTTGAATCTTCACACAAACATCTTGCCATTAAAAAAACAAATCGTCACTTAGACATTTGAGGGAGAATCTGTGTTTTTACTGGCGAGTCATATGTTGGAACTACTCTTTGTTCACCAGCGTTGTGAGACTCCATGAAGTCGCTCTCGTGTTCGTCAGTGAGCTTCAGAGGTTTTATTGTTTCTTTCGCCTCATGTTTCAGATGTTAATGTCAGTCTGTTCACCACTTTGATTCAGACTGAAACAAGTGAAACTCTTCTTAACTAGCTGTTTCCTCCTGCATCCAGTCCTTATGCTAAGCTAAGCTAACCATGTCCTGATTGATATCCATCTTCTGGTCTCACTTCTGCAAAGAAAGGGAATGAGAATGTTCCTTGAAAGCAGCAGAGAGAGATGAAGGAGAGATGACTCCTCATGTTGAGGTTTCATCAGCTGGTCCAGATGTTGAACAGACCTGATCCTGAATCTGATGTTTGTGAAGTCAAATGTACTTCAGATCATACGAGGAAGAAGAAACACATTTTTATTCCTTCACACCTTCAGAGGTGAAGGTGTTAAAACGAGAGCCGCTGTGACTCTAAATCTGTCGACACGTTTCATCCAAAAACAGCCCCGAGGCGGACTGCACGCGCTCAGTACGGCGCTGAGACTGTCAGAGTATTTATATCCACGCGGACCTGTTCTACCTGCTTTATATTTAGACTTCAGGGTCTAAATATCTACTAATGTCTACTTTATACTCTTTAGTTACTACAGTAACTGTGCTTTTGTTTCTCTACTTGAGTAACGGATCTTCTTCCACCACTGATGGGAAACCTGTTCACCTAAAGATCACAATACAAACGTGTGCAATCATTTTACATAATGAATGAACAGAAAGAATATTCATGAGCAACACAAAGACACAGAGAGACAGTTACAGGAGACGAGCACCGACTCGCTCTCATGATGGAGCAGACGGGACGAGAAACAACCATTCAACACCAGATAATTATTATCAAACCAAAATAGAGCCACGGCTAGAGGAGAAGTGTGAGAGGAGGCGAGACAGGTGGAGGGAGGAGAGGAGGGAAGGAGGGAGGAGAGGAGGCGAGGAGGGAGGAGAGGAGGGGGGAGGAGAGGAGAGGAGGCGAGGAGGGAGGAGAGGAGGGAGGAGGGGAGGAGAGGAGAGGAGGCAAGGAGAGAGAGAGGAGAGGAGGCAAGGAGGGAGGAGAGAGAGAGGAGGGAAGGAGGCAAGGAGAGAGGAGGGAGGAGAGAGAGAGGAGGAGAGAAAGGAGGGGAGGAGGAGAGGAGGGAGGAGGGGAGGAGGAGAGGAGGGAGGAGGGGAGGAGGAGAGGAGGGGAGGAGGGGAGGAGGAGAGGAGGAGAGGAGGGAAGGAGAGGAGGCAAGGAGGGAGGAGAGAGAGAGGAGGAGAGGAGGCAAGGAGGGAGGAGAGAGAGAGGAGGAGAGCAGGGAAGGAGGGAGGGGAGGAGGAGAGGAGGGAGGAGGAGAGGAGGCAAGGAGGGAGGAGAGAGAGAGAGGAGGAGAGGAGGGAAGGAGGCAAGGAGAGAGGAGGGAGGAGAGAGAGAGGAGGAGAGAAGGGAGGGGAGGAGGAGAGGAGGGAGGAGGAGAGGAGGAGAGGAGGGAAGGAGGGAGGAGAGGAGGGAGGAGGAGAGGAGGGAGGAGAGGCGGCGACAGTCAAACACTTCCTCGTATCATTTGGACAGATTTCATGAACAGCGAGACGAGACACAGAAAGTAATTACAGAGTGAAATAAAGGGAAGTGAAGCGAGAGAGAACGCGGAGGAAACGTGTTCAACAACATCAGCTGGAATAACCGACGTCCATTGGAAACAGAAAACACATGAAGATCTAACAGCTTCCTGCCCTTTGACTCAGAGTTCAGGGTGGAGGTTTAAATCTGACCCAGGAAAACACCGCTCGGTATGACTTACATTATAAATCATGATTAGAAATGTGTGTCGTGATATCAGACTCTCTGCTTCCATCATTGTCTTTACTTTCATTCATTTCAATCAGAGACCAGCGCATCCTGAATCGAACGTCGACAGGTGGTGCGTTCAAAAGAGAAAGTAAAAATAAGTAAAACAGAACTAGCCATGATGTCGGCCGATATCTGGACGACACAACTTAATATGTCAAATTAATTTATTAACCCTTAAAAACCTGCCCGCGGGATGAAAAGAGCATGTTTTGAACGCATCATGTGTGACGAACGCTTCCGTCAGAAAACAAAATCGAAAAAAGAAGCTTAAACTTATGTTTCATTAAAAACATTTTATTCTACATTTATTCATTTAAAATCTCTCCACAAATAAACATTTCACTTTAACCAGATTGTGTAAAAACATTAAATTGTGAGCTCCTTGATTCTTCTGTGTCACGGTTTTGGGTTTTGTTTAATTGTTTCTTCTGTTTTATTTTGAAGTTCCCTGCCTCTTGTGTCCTGTGTTCACTTCACTTCCTGTCCTCGTCTGTTTCCCGCCTCTGTGATTGTTTGCCCCGCCCTTAATTGAACCCTGCTGTGTGTCATTACCTGCACCTCCAGGTGTAAACCCTGTGTGTCTGTGTCTCAGTGTCACCTGGTCTGCTCCTCTGTGGTATGTTTCCGGTGTTGGTGTGTTTTGTCAAACATGTCTCTGATTGTTTGTTGAGATCCTTATTTCGTTTTGTGTTTTGTCCGTACCTTGTTTCCTGCCTTTGAGTTTTGTGCTCTACCAGTTTTGCTTTGGACATCTTTTGGTGTTATTAGATCATCATCAGCCAATCCTTCTGCGGTTGGGTCCATCCCCGACCAGTTCTTCCCTAAACCCAGACAATCTGAGACCAACAGTCATGTGACAAAGATTCAGTGAAACTCTGACTGTTCAGAAGGAACAAACCAAAGAGAAGCCGTTGAGTGAGCGATTAGTCCACCGGCTCGTCGACTACGTTTTAATCGAGGAACGCAGTAATATTGCTGCTGGTTTATTGTTCAAGCTTCATATGCAGAAAGTAATTGTCGTTGTCACAGAGCTTCAATGTTTGTTATCACGATCCAGCCACACATTCATAAGGCAGCGGTTATTGTCACATATGCTACCTAGTCCACCATCCGTACCTGGTCCATGCGGGACTGGAACCGGGGACCCACCAGTGCCAGGTACCCGATGGGCTGAGCTGCTGTCGCCTCAAGTTCCTTTGCATTAAGACTCAGATTAACCAACGTACTTTCATTTAGTTTGTGATCATTTGTGAAGAAATCCACATTTATGGTTTTCTTTTTTCTGCCATGTTGCATATTGCAAAGCATTCTGGGAATTTTCTCATTAGAAGCTCAAAGTCCCAGTTAAACGAAAGTTAGATCGTCTTTTTTCATTCCATCCCGTCTTTAAAGAAGATACTAATGTATTTATATTTAAATTAAAATGTTTTAAAGACTTCCTTCTTCTTACACTTTCAGTTACAATTAAATCTTTTTCATAACTTCTGCAGATAAAACATTTTTAAGTTCAATAAACTACTTCACGTTTTTAAAAGAACATCTCTTCCCTCTGTTTCATATAAAAGCTATGAATATTTAAATATTGTTAATTTCTAACATGCGTCACCTGAAGATGAATCAGTAAAAGCCCAGCACACAGATATGAAACATGTCTGAGCGTCTTCATGTGTTAACGTTCCTCCAGCGTCTCATTGATCCATCGATCAGCAGACCGGAGCCGATCACACTTTAATTCTAAAATGAGTTCTATCAGCGGTGGAGTCTGTCACACAGCTGGACAGTTCAGCTGTTTCTTCTTCTGTGGTGGTTAAATTAGAATGCAGGAAGTGGAGCACTTCCTCTCAGAACATCCACACATTCGGTTTGACGTCCTCTCTCTCCTCCGCCGTCCTGCTGAGATGACTTATTGACGAGCTGTCGGCCAGTGACCCCTCGTTAGAGCGGTACAGTGCTGCTGTCTGCTGGTTCAGATCGATGTGTCCGCTGTCGGGATGTTCCATCACTCGTAATGAATGTGATTCCAACCTCATGAGGAGTGTTGGTGTTCTGGTCCACGTGTCCTCTGTCTGGTTGGGAGGTTGGTGACCTTTGTTTGGGACTTCCTCGGCCTCCTGTCCTCAGGCGGGCCGAGGTGGGTTCTCTGTTCTAACCTGGTGGTCTAGAAGGTGATTGGTGGATGTGGGGAAATCTTTGACCTTTCTGGAGCATCCTGTGACGAAGTATGCGTCCTCATCAGAGGCAACCTCCGCTCCATGTGTTAAAGCTGCATTCTCTCATCAGAACCAGACCTCTGTTGAGCCGCACGTCACCTGTCTCTAGACGAGAGCTCGTCAGAGTCGCACTCGACTCAG